TAGATGTATTATGACAGGATGTTGATACACACCAATGTTTTTGACTATAAATAAATATTTTTTCCTATTTTCGCCAAACATTATTTGGACCAAGTCTACTAATCACTGACTTTGGATAATACGAGAAGTTTTCATGACGCGTGATTAAAAATGCTAAGCTGATTTTGGTATATTTTTCCATGTCGAAATACAAGTGTGTGCGCTTCAATATTTCTCTTCTTTGGGATGAATTTTATAGTAAGCACCTTTCTGTTTGATTTTGATTCAGGAAAACAAGCAGTAGTACTAATTAATTATATTTTTTTCATAACAAAGAACCTACAAACGGAGAATGAGTTTTTAATACGTTTAAGAGGTTAGTATCAAGAATAGGCAATTCTAAAAATAATCTATATTGTAATATAAAGTATGTATTTATCTGTATATCACGCTACAGAACCTAAGGCGCTATACACGGCACTGGGATTGTTTTTCACATCACTTCAGGCTAGACCTAGGGGTTGTGGCATTATCACTTAGATAAAAAATCCATGGTGATTGGCAGAATTTTAACCCGGGGCCTCAGGGAGTGAAGTCCCTTGCTCTAACTACTAGACCAGCTCCAATCACAGTTCACAGTAAAATTAAATTAGTCCCTAGCACAACTAACTTCTTGTACAAAACTTTACTTGTACATTAACTCCTAAGTAAAATCTTCAGCACTTATAATAGCCCTACACTGCACATTCAGTTTAAGCTGGTAAATTCACAATGTTTTTAAAAACAGATAACGTTTGGTTCATTTCGATTTAATATCGATTTAGGTCCAATCTACAAAAAAAATAATTGAAGAAATTGTCATGGCACTAAGTGCTATGATTATGCTTATACATAAAATAGAGCGCATTTGAATACAGTTTCTAAAAAAAAATCCACTTATAATGCCAAATTAGAAGCACGACTTACTTGAGAAATGGACAATCAATAATCAATAATAATGTTATGATCTATCTAAAAAGTTGTCGACTGTAGAAGCTACCGAAGCCAGGTTTAAAACTACACCTCTCTACCCCAGAAAAAGCCAGTTGCGTACAAAAAACATAAATAAAATCGAATTTATACAATCAAATAACCTAGTGCTATAGTACAATTATCTCAAATCCAACTATCATTTCTTAACACTTCAATTAAGGTACTCTACGTGAATACAAGCAATTCAAAGGTGGAGAGGTTTCAATAATTTGAAGCGGTGTGGGCAGCGAGGCGTACAGCAACTGCTTAACTACTCAGCTCAGCTGTTCGGCGAGGGCCATGAGGGGAATCATCTGACTCAGCGAGCTCAGCTAATCAGCTGTTTAATCGGCCCACCTGGCGGGAGAGCTAGTTTTGGAGGGAATAGTTGGTTGGTTGGATTGAATACAGTGAGGTTTGTTCGCTAATTGTTAGCGTTACAAGTTTATTACATGTTAATGTTAATTTATGGAGAGCTTGGTCCATCGATGGAAAACGGGACGTTTCATTCTCAAGTTAAAGCAATTAAGTGTATTCTTTTTTTTATAAATAAACTTGGAATAATCGAGTTGCCGAAAGATATGACACTTATGGATATCTCTTGTAAACTATACAAAGTCTTATGTCATGTTATGGTATCAATAACTAAGACAACAGGATTTTTCAAGAAAATTTGAGCACTAGGGCTATAAAACGACTTTTAAATATTTATTCTACAAAAAATAAAGTCCGTAAAAGTGGTAATTTTGTTTTCTTTTGGTGTTTGACTTAATATTGTAAAATTTTTGAAAAAAGGATATAAATTAAAGTAGTAGTTTAGTTTGCAGCTTTGAACCTATTTATAAGGCAGTATTCAAAAACAGGCAAGTGTTAAAATAACTATTTGGTTTGCCATTGTTGTTCACATCCGTAAAGTTTTATTTTAAGTGTTATACAACATAAGTAATATGAAAAATACTGTTTGCGACCATGTTTCGCAGTAAAAACTAAACTAAACTATTTTGTTTTAAATTGTGGCTTGACACCGTTAAGTGTAATTAAGAAAACACAACTTACAAACAGCTACATTAATTATTTGCTATTTTTCTTAATTCAATTGTATTTCATGTAAAAAGTACGTAACCCTATTTAATAACGATTTCGGTTTACTTTGTTTGGTTTAATTTATAAGTAAAAGCATCGATTTAATTTGCAATAGTCTGTTCCTGTCCATTGTTGTTCAATTTGTTGGGTAGCGAGCTGGTCTAGTATAGCACGGGACTTCGGTCCCCATGGTCCCGGGTTCGAATCACACCAATCACCAATGAATTTGATCCATGGATTTGATATCTCAAAAATACAATTTAAACCCTGAAATAATGTGAAAAATAGTTTCGAAAAAACTTTTCTGTTTGTTATTTTACTGTTCACAAATTAAAAAGAAAAAAAGTTGAAAGCGATATCGATTTACTAGGTGTGATTAATTTATCTACTCTAAAAGTAGCTATGCAATTTGCTATCGAACTTATCCTTGTTCATCAATAATTAACTCTTAGTAGTTAAAGTCTGCTAGGTGTAGCCGAGTATATAGTGCTGTATGACACTAGGGGCTGTAGCGTGTCGTGCTGCCTTGTTCCCTCTACATGCGCGATATATAATTCACAACCCCCACGCTGCAGGGGCTTAAATAGCTTACTTTTACGACCAACAGTTACCAAGACTCCTCTGGAATGTATTACGAGCTATTTTGGGTCGCGTAGACAATAAGGTATTTTTACCCCGAGTTTCCAGATCAAAGTAGGCTACATTTTGAGTCAAATAAAGTTTTAATCGGGTTTTAAATACTCCTAGGTAAAGAAACAGCTGATTACATTCAGTAAAAAAGGTAATGAAAGCATTTAAAAGCTGAAAAAGAATGTGTTACCGGTTCGATCGTCAAAGTCAGTAGCTCTTTGATACATCAACATTGAACCCAGATTCCCCAAATTATTGTGATTTTATGGTAAATCATTCTGACTAAATAAACAGATTATCTTAATAAAATAACAAATTCATCATCTCATTTTATTAAACACTAATTCCTCTCTCATCTTAAGTCAAAGCCTACACAGTTTTCAAAGCATCCGCTTCAAATATTACAAATTTTTATTTCCGACTCCTTGGACTTTTCACACTAGCATATCATAAGCTTACACTACCATATCAAGGCTAATAACAGTTCAAGTAACCTTCGAAAAGTACTCAAAGCTGACCCTTTACTAAACTGACGTAACAGTTACAACCATATGTCAGCAGTATTTCCCGCGGCGCGCGTCAGCTGGGTTGTATTTCCCGCGGGAAAACAGACGAAGAAACGTTCAGTAATTACGCCTCCGGGTCTTCATCAGAGCAATGAATATTAAAGAGGTGTTCCCCAGACGCGGGAAATACACTCCGCCCTTCAGCTGGTAATTAAACTCATGTTGACAGCTCGTCCGAAACATCCACTTAAATATTCTCTATGTATTCTCAAGCATTTCTTTTGAAATTGTGTTTTAATGAATAAGTTTAGCATTTTGTCACTCGAAGACCTAGAGAGAGATTGTGGGTGATAATATTGGAATATATGAACAGTTTTAACGATCACAACAATACTTTTTCTTAGACGAGAAAGTAAAAAACTGTTTAATTGAATTGATTACTGTATTTAAAAAGCCAGGATTAGATTTTATAATTTGTAGGTTTACTATACGGATTAAGATTTAACCTGAAGCATGGATTTTGAAGGAGAAAAGTTTCATTAAATGGGAAACCTATACTTTTTTCTAGATGAGTGGACTCGGGACCAACTGATCCCGGTATTAGCACTAGGCTAAAAGCCTAGTGTAGGATTTGACCACCTTGAATCGTCTGCAAAGCAGTACTAAAAATCTCAGAATTAAGCTTTGATACCTTTAAAAATCGTACTGGTTACAAGGAATTCAATAGGGTTGAAATTCAAAGTTTTTAGCCAACAAGACTTCATCTATTTTTAATGAACCACCGCAGTTGTAAAGTGACAACGAAAGTAGTTGAGCGTTAACCAACTTGTTCTCTCAGAATTTTCAACTGTGACCCAGTTAACTCTATTAAAGTCAGCCTCGTCTATAAATGCATTTAGTTTTAAATTATGTGGACGAAATGTTTAATCTGTGGAAATACAAAATTTAATCCCGAAGAAAGTTGAAATGTGATTCCTTTAAAGGATTCTTAACCTAAGAGAACCTGCAGATATAGCGGTAAATTGGGGTAATGAGGATGTTTTGCAACCGTTTTCGTTTCAAATTTGTAGCCGGCAGTACTGGATGTTATTAAAAGATGGATGTTAACATAATAAGATAGTATATTAAAACCGCTTTTTAATGTACTATCACGATGCATCTTATCACGATAAGCGTTCGTCATTTTAGCACTTAGGTAGAAATCTAATAGATACAAACACCGAGGTTGCTCAAGTTTATTACAAATATGACTACAAAATTTTTTCTTAGATTTTTTCTCAATATAATTCCGAACATTATACCACTGGACTACAGAGAAAAGCCTACGGTTTGCAGCCTGAAAGTTATTGAAGCCACACGAGCCAAATCTAATCATCCAAATCTTTAGGAATAGATGAGCCCACGGTTGACATTATAAATTAATACATTTGCAGGCAGCCCTTATATCCCTATTGCACACGATGTTGAAAGGCATGTCGAGAGGGAGTAACAGTGATTACAAAGTTCGATCCCTATTATTGTCGAATCAATGGTCGATTAATCGAAACTGAGGCCAGCTTTCTTTTATTTTCAATAACTGGTCCTGACAAGGTAAAAGTATTGTCTTAGTTATATCAAAGCTACAGAAGTCATGCCATCACACTGAATATCTACACTCATTCGTATTTAGATTTGTTTCAGTGCTATGAACATAAAAAAATGTGTTTCCAAAGCCAGGTTTGGGTTGAATCGGGAGTTCGGGATACTACACAAAAAGTAAACTATCATTAAAACTGTTACAATAAAACATACCTGGAAGTCAAATTTCTGGAACTGCTCCACGGTGTCGACGTCCGTCTCAGCCATGTAGGTGAGGCCGCAGGTCTCCGAGGACACGACACTGTACGCCTCAGGCTCCGGCGTTTGAGGAGGTTCCTGGCGCAGCCTCGGTTCCTGAGGCATCTCCTGGACCTCGTTGGTCTCCTGCCTCAGCGCGTCTCGCTTGGCCTCCGTCAGCACCTCGAGCCCGGGGGCCGCGCTGAAGCTGACGTAGTAGATGCATAGCAGCACCGTGAGCAGCACTGCGCTGGCGGCGATGAAGCGGGGTGGGCCGCGCCTCAGCATGTTAAACATGACCCATGACACTCAGTTACATGGCGGGCTCTCAGGACTGGGGCCGCATCTGGAACAGGAACAGTGAGTTAGTCTACTTTGCATATGTGAAGAGTGTAGGGTTGTATAAAGTCTTGAGAAGGTTGGTAAGATTTGGAAAAAAATGTGCTCAGAAAAATATTTGGATCGGCAAAGTATGATATAGAATAGTAAGACTGAGGGCATGTTCAAGCTACTATAGTCTGTATGGTGGAACCTTTCTTCTGACCCTACGGTTGCCTGTTGCATGTCCGGGGCTTAATGGCCAGTCCAAATGTACGGAGTCCAGATATAGAAGGCGCGTCACGAGAAAAGTTCCATCACACACGCTATAGGCATGGTGGCTGAAGTAAAAATGGGAGGGAAATCCAAATAAAAATATACTTCATAGACACCTGTGAACGTGTAAGGATGACATGAGTATGTCGAGAGCCAGGGTAAAAGTGAAAATTATAACTGAAATAAAGATTTTTGGTTTTATTCCTCTAGGATTCAATAATAAAATATATCGGAATAAAAAATACGAGTACCGTAGTGTAAATAGTGTGAAAATACATTATATTCGTCAATGACTGGTGTGGCATGTTAATCCAATCAAATCGTAGATCGTATAGTTATGAAGGAATGTCAACTGAGGGTTTTATCTCTATTTTACGTATTATTTTAATAGTTAAGACTGACTATGTAAAATAAGGATATAGTAAAAGTACAGACGAAAAGTAATAAAACAAAACAAAAAACTAGTGCCAACTGCTTGAAGCAATTGTTTATGCAAACCATTTATAAATGTAATTTTGTTCGTGTTTCTGTAAAAAAACGGTTGAAACCCGAAACATGTAAATCCCCTAAATCATATTGAGGAGTAGAAAATGAGGCAAGGGACTAAAGGAGCGCAACAAAGAAATCTCGCGGGATTTGCTGAGAACAGAATTATTGGACAAAGGAGGCCCTTGAAGAGATTCTCTTCTACACAGATTATAAATTTCTTCCGCGATCTCTCTCCATTATTTATTCCGATGGTGACGGAAACGACGCCCTGATGAATGTAGAATTTACAATTCAACAATACTTTTGGATTTTCTTTACTTTTGCCATTTAAAATATTTTTTCCCGACTATTTCCCACTTGTATTATCAAGCGGTTGAGAATAAACATTTTTGTTAGTTTTTGTGGATACAAATCAGTTTACCTGTTTCACGTTTTGCTAGCCCCAACACTAATAATATTAATGTAGTTTGAAAAAGAAAAAAACTCTTTTTGTTACTTTTGGGACCACTATAGAACGCTTTTAAAGCCAAACACATCGTCAAAACAATAAGGCCATTTTAAAAATACACAGATTTATGAAAAAACGGGCTAATGTAATTTTTGTGGTTACCGTTACGTACAAACTGCTTCAGCTATGACCGTTTAAATGTATGTTAATATACGTAATTAATCTTTAGTTTTGTCCAAAACAGCCTTTGGTGAATAGAAGGATTTGAATACGTGTCCTAGGGGACAGAAGTCCACCACTAAACCACAAATCTAGCGCGTTCCCACTAAGACCATTAAAGTACAGTCAAGTAGTATGTACAAAACAAGAGCTTAAATTAATGAAACTAAAAACAAACCACACGTGAAAACCAAAACTGCTCACCCTATCGACTGTTTCCACAATGTCTTCGTATGACCCAATACAAAAATCATTCATTAAAACGCCTTTTTAACCCCTTGAAAAAAAAAAAAAAACATAGAGAATATATAAGTAGATGTTTCGGACGAGCTGTCAACACGAGTTTAATTACCAGCTGAAGGGTGGAGTGTATATTCCCCGCGTCTAGGGAACACCTCTTTAATATTCATTGCTCTGATGAAGACCCGGAGGCGTAATTACTGAACGTTTCTTCGTCTGTTTTCCCGCGGGAAATACAACCCAGCTGACGCGCGCCGCGGGAAATCCTGCTGACATATGGTTGTATCAGTTACGTTAAGTAACGGATAGTTTTGACGCGTTATTGTTAACTACGAATTTTAAAATAGCTTAAATATTTTAAAATATTATCTACGGTGTTGTTAATATTTTTAGGTTAGCTACGGATACTTCTAAAACGGTAATCACGTTTATAACAGGCTTGTTAGTTAAAGTAACACAGGTATTTCGGCTATGGATACTTTTAAAACGGTAATTTTAGCCACGTACGTATCCAGAAACTGTGATAATAGTTCGGATACTTTTAAACAATATATTAGAAACAGTTTTTTGTTCTTTTAACAATTGAAGTGTTTTATACGGTACCCTTAACTGCATATTGTGTTATGCAGTATTGCTTGTACAAAGGAACAGGATGCTAAGAAACGGTAAGCTACGGGTACTTTAAAACGGGGGTTTCAGCTACGATTATAATGCTTAAAACAATTTATTATGTGACTATCCCGGCCTAATCCCGGTGTTTTATCCACAACATAAATCGACCCATACAGGAACTACAATTTTCTTGAACCATAGGTTCGAACATAGACAAACCAACACAAGTAGGCTTATCATCCCATTATACATTTTGAAGCTCGTTTATCGTGTTTAGTTCATGTCCGGAATTTAGTTTCTATTATTTTAAGGTTGATTTCATGATTGTGCTTTACTGTTTGGTTATATTACTAGGAAACAAGTTTTTTTAAATGAATAGATCGTTTAATTTGGTCAAACTAGATTTTAAATGATTGAAATAACAAGAAACAAGTTTTAAACAACACACGACTTCTACATGGAACCGGACAGAGCTAATAATAAAATTGACTTCAAATGGCTACGGATGAGAAATCTAACTCTAAATTTAGCTGATTTGAAAATCTAAATCTTGATTGGAAATGTCCATACAAGTGGGTGAATATTAAAAGTAACCAGATGGTTTAATTTATTATTGAATTAAACACAGTAAGATAGTAACACCATAAATTAGATTATTAATTTTCACAATTATTGGTGTAACGTAAACAGCCTAGATAGTTTACAGGGTTGTTTGACATTTTGCAACACCAGATTACGCAGTTTGCATAACAAGACTATTGTTGATAACAATGTCACGGGGAGCCGTAGCAATGCGGAGACTAATCCCTCACACACGAGGCGAAACAGGTGACCACACAAATCTGGCTAACTTGTCTACTAACTTGTTTTTGACTACTGAAATCTGGTGTAAAATGTACGAGAAAAACAAGAACAATTATGCAACAATGCGATGAAATAAATATATTGGTTGTTATATGGGAGAGTTAAATACAGTAAACATTTTTTACCATAAACGTTAACATTTTTTACTTTGAGTTTTGGGTCCTAAAAAAGTTGCTTTCGAAGTGATGTATGTGTACAGAGCTATAGAATACATGTGGTCTGATTGCAATGGAATTTGGTATGTGGGTACTAATTTATCTAAAGAGTTTTTTGGAAGTTTTTGATTTGTAATGGCGATTTTCCCTATATAAACCCGTAAAACGATAGAAAAAAGGAGTTTTACAAAAACGGTAAACAGTTTGAATAACATTAAAGTGATATGGTCCTTTTAACTTGAAACATGGAAAATGGCTGTGAACAATGAAAAATCAACGTCAACATCTAGGTTATCTAAACTATTTTACTAAAACTAACTAACTGCCAAATTTAAAAAGCAACACTACAATGTCAGTGAATTTATAATTAATTCGTCAAACAAATGAATTAAAATGTAACTGTAATGTCCAGTTGTACAAGAAAGCACAATTAATTTATTATAAGTAAATATTATGTCGACACTCTGATTTTTGTAATACAAAAATATACCGTATTTATGTATAATATGGATAGTAAAACCTTCAGTGTCCAATATATAATATATTGGATATAATATAATCCAATATAATAGTCAATGGTAAAAGAACTAAGAACAACGGAACAGATTAATTATACATATTTATGGCAACAATTTTCAACTGTGGCACAGATAATAACGTTTCGTAAAAAAGCTACAAAACGAAATATAGCGAAATCTTCGATAAAATCGACGTAATAACCCTTTTATCGCGTAATCATCGACCTAGAAACCCTTGGAGAACTTAACTGCGTTCCAATCTGCAATGAAATAGCATCTTAACTCAGAGAATAAAAAAGCTTCTCATAAGTTTTGTGATTTTTGGTAAGGAAATATACTTTTAAGTCAAGATACTAAAAATATAACAATAAAACGTCACACAATGTTTAGTTACATTCTGCACATTAGAAAACAATTGTATTACGACCTGTTGACCTATAAGAATTTATGACTAAAAATATACAATGAAAATGTGTGTTGTATTTTTAGCCTTTGCATGGTAATACATTACAGCACTACAATTCCAAATTAATAAAGGTTAATTAAATTTGACAAACAGCCGATACACATAGAACCATGATAGAATACATATTGAGCTTCAATAGTTGGGAAAATACAGCTTTAGTAATAGTTTGTAGAATTAATGTTAAACTATTTGTAAACAGTAATTTTTAATCGTTAAGATGCACTTTAATAAGACGAACGTTTAACTTAAACATGTATAAATTAAAATACATTGAAAATGCCACTAGAAATTACAGAACCGTATGATAAACCCTGAAAGGTGTTTTGGTAGAGGAAAAGGGGGAGGGTCTTCACCTGATAAGGGGGGGGGGGCTCTTAAATATTCATTGATGTAATGAAACTGTCAAAAGAGATCACGTTGGTGCGGTACACGAACTTCGCGGTCACAGGGAGAATTAAGGTTAGGGTTAGCGTATATTTACCCCAGAGGTAAGGTATAAACACATATATCCTAATTTGTAAACCTATGAAGTGAAAAAGGTTGTACAACATACTTAATTAAAAAAAAATAAACCGAGAGTGGTTTATTTTGTATAAATTCAGGCAATCACTTTTTATGTATTTTTTTTTATCTCTTTTAACACTCAAATTAATTTAGAATGCCAACTTAATTTATTTAAAAAATACTTCACTTATGTTATTCTTCAACAGTTTTCTTGTGAATTTAAGGCTACACGGTTCG